TGTTTTTTCTTTTCTCTCTCTCTCTCTCTCTCTTTCTATTCGCTCTTCGGATAACGGGTATTCCCAACGAATTAAACCTTACCCGGTGGTGGTAGCATTTCGAGCGTGAATCGAGCCCCCAACGAGGCACCACAAAAATCCATAGAGTTGATAATTGTGTTCGAGAGGCGCAATCGAACGAGAGGAGAGGCTCGCTCGATTAAACTCCGTCGACTATCATAGGGTCTTTGTAATAAATCCAACGGGATCAGTCGTGATCCGATAGGGTCTAATTAAAGATGAAGCAAGAGACGCTCGAATCCCAATCCCTGTTTCGTTCCACTTGATTCATTTCCGATACGAGATTTGTCAAAGGGTATTGGGAACGTATTTTAAGTTATGATTAATTTATTTAAACAAAATATGATATTCGATATGTTAACGTGCATAATATGAATTGAGATGTAATGAGATTGCAAATTAACGATACTGATTAATTATTAATGAATACATAGGTATTGTAATTTTATTTTTTGGATTATCGTGTTTCGTTTTAGAAATCGATGATTATAATAAATTATTAATAATTTACAATTAATGATATTTCGAGTAGTTCATGTAATTGTTACAGCTACGATCTTTTGAAGAGTGTTAAACGTATCAAGAAAAAATTTTCATACGAAATTAAAAAAACGAGATAATAAGGATTTTCCTATTTCTATTTAAAATCGAATTTTAAAAATTGGTCAAGAATAGATAAACAGAATAAAATAGAATAAAATGAAATACAGTGAATAGTAATTGTAATTTCAAAAAAAAAAAAAATTGAAAACCAAAAAAAGGAAAATTTAAAGTACGAATATTAAATTTCGTTTCAATTAAATATATTTATTTTGTATTAAAAGTTTAATCGAAGTTATAAATTTTTTTTTTGTGTTCATGTTTCATCATCGCGATTTATTTAAACTGATTGATATGATGACTTCGTTGTATCGTTTGTCTGAAGGAATGTAGCATTCGTACTAATCCCACTTTATTCATAAACGACTAATGGTCGAAACAGATGCTCTATTTCGCTCATCATTAAACTAACTAAATATTCTATATATTATATAATATATATGTAATGTTATAATATTACAAATATTCTATTTGAATATGTAATTGCCTTTTAGCATAAATAGCTTAATAACTTTTAGAATCTTGAATCAGTTATTGTACTAATTCAAGGAATATCGTGTAATGCCTCGTTAAATGATTATTTATTATATTCTTCGAAATCATATTATATTCGTTTAATTTTTTTTCTTCCTTGAGAGATTTGCTTCCTTTTAGTATTAAATAAAATTTAAAGTTTGGAGTACTATCTTCAGTAGCTGGTGTATGATACTCTCCGAGGATATATATTGTGATAATTTTATGAGTCTACAAACTTTAGGAAAAACTCGATGCAGTAATGCCTTGTTAACTAATTTATATCTGATTAATTCAATATCTTCTCTGTATTAGTGATCTGATATTTATCACGATTATATTTGATCAATTCTCGATGAAAAAGATGTAGGAGAAAATCCTGAATATAATATTTTTCATAATATTTTGTATATTTGAAAAAAATTAATAACAAAAAAGTATCGGATTCTTCAGAAACACATGTAATTAAAGAAAGATAGATTTTGAGAGAAAACAAAATAGGGAGAGACAAACGGATAAAATGAGAATGCGGGTGTGATATAAATCTAAAATGAAAGTTTACACTAATCCATAATACACAGTGTCTTCTATACCTTCTCCATTATTACAGAAATCTGACATGTTGTTTACCTACTTGGATACCTAACATCAAAGACTCATTTTACGAGTTTAGCGAGAACGTTCTCTGACAATCCGTTAATGCAAAATTCTAGTCAGTTTTGAAAAAAGTATTTCATTTCTGAAAAAGAGAGAAAAATATTTGACATTTTCTAAAACAAATATATTACAGATATCCTAAGCTAGAGTCAGTTAAAAGATTGATACGAATGAACGAGATAATTTTGAGATTTTTTTTAAAAGAAGAAGTGATTTATTGAAGAATAAATTTTAACATTTCAAGAAGAATTAGAATCGAAAGTAATTAAATTGTTATGTTGCTATTAAATTAACTTATTATGCTTATTTAACTTGAATTATAAAATGACAATTGAGAATATACATTAATTAAATCAATTGGCCATTATATTATAGGAGGAAAATATTTAAATATGATTCAATGAACAAGATAGAACAAATATACATTCACTCTCTTTGATAAAGATAAAACGTACTAATCTATTATTCCTAGGGGAGAGACATTGATCCGTGATAAAATTGTCTTCAAATTGTGTTCTTGAACGCAGTACAATAATATTTCGCGAGCACACCCCTACTATCCGGACAGTTGCGTTCTCTATTCTACGAGGAGTCGCGTGAAAAATGTGCACGCTTTGATTCTATCCACGAAACATAACGTCAAAGACACGGATATCCATTACTTTACATGGCCCTCTGGCAAAGAGTGCAGCAAGTAACGTTTCGTCGCCTCGCTAATGCGCGACCCTCCCATAGACACCGAACCTTCGTCGTAGAGGTTATAAAAATTCCAACGAACGATGGAATAACAAGTACAGGCGAGATACACGAGTATATCGATGCCAATGTTCGAACATCGGCTGTTCGCACCACGTGAGATGGAAACAGGTTTCACGAGCATTACACTATTTACGAGTATTTACTCGAGTAGGAATATTCCAACGAATAAAGTCAGAGAGAGAGAGAGAGAAAAATTAATTCCAAAGAGGAGATACAAGGGAGATCCAGGGCAAAAGGTGTTTCACCTTTTGTGAAACGTTATATCGTATACGATCGATAATCTAGTAAACGAAACATTTTGACGAACGATCATAATCGTGGAAGGAAACGTGCCGTGGCCGGGGTTCCGGGCAAGGGAAGAAAAACGAGAGGCATCCCGATGAGAGCCGAGTCATCGCACTTGCCGAGTGCCTCTTATCTTTCCGGCTGCTGGTTGTAGGTTAGAGACACTCGTCGTGGATAGGAGTGAGATCGAATCGATCGATCGACGACTTTCGAAGGGAGCCTCTACTCGAGTTTTCCTGACCTAAGAACACACAAGGCCCGGAGTGTGTAGAGTGGCGTTGGAACGGGGTGGAGTGGGCTCTAACACAGAATGGGCCGCCGGAGTGGGGGAAGATATTCGAGCGAGAGAATCTCACCCTCTTTCGAGCATCCTCCTCCTCCTCCTCCTCCTCCTCTTCTGAGCCACGACAACGACGATGACTGCAGATTTGTCTTTCCTTTCCCGTCTCGCGACCCCTTATCGCCCGCGACACGCGTCCCCTCCCGCTTTCCTCCCCTCGTTATCACGGTTGGGCCGGGCTTCTCGTCGAATCGGTCGCGTGACGACGGCTAATTAAAAGTCCAAAGACATCCCTCGTCGGATCGATCGCGAATCGTGCACGTCTCGTTTTCTTATCGTTCTTCGAGGACAGGAATCCTTCCTTCTCCGACGGAAAGTTCGTTGCTTTCGCTTCGAGTGGCGATCGATTCTCGAGGGTTACGAGCGAAGGGATAAGGCGCGACCACGTGGGAGGAACGATTCTTGCGCGACACTTGTACATATATTCGATACTTTGAAGCGACGATCGTGACCGTGTATCGTGTTCCCTCTCTCTTTTGCCCTGTAGAATCGAGCCGAATGATGCCCAATTGACGAACACCAAGTCCTAGGAATGGCCCCCTTCAGTTCCGTCTTCCTGGGCGTCTGGGGAGTGTTCGTGATCGTCCTTATACAAGGTACGAGGGTTATCGTGTTTGCTTTCACTCTTGCGTCCAAAGTAGTTCTTAACCTTTTTTCGAATTGTTTTCTGAGCGTCGAGATGAACGAATAATTCTAATAGCGATCGATACTTTGCTCCTTCGTATTTTCAATCGATAGCATGCGTTAATTGACGTCTCAAGGTCGTATTTTGGAAGGTAATTGGAAAATTTATCAGGATCTTCCTCGTTCGATTACACACACACACAAAGATAATATAATAAGGGAAATAGTGAATTTCGTAGATAAATTCCTTCTCTCTCTCTTATTCTTGTCTCCTTGTATTTTTGTATTTTCATCCATCGTCGGGGTATAAGTTTCTTGGACGCATACTTTATGGAAAACATGTCTGAGAACTGTCAATAGCAAGAAGAGGCAAGACTTAAAAAAAAAAAAAAAAAAAAAAAAATAAAGTTGAAGAAAACCGTTGTTGAAGTGACCTTGAAGCGGACAATTGACTCGAGACAGACTATAGCAAGAAAGTGTATAATTGAGACGAGTGGCTCGTTATTCGGTGAAGTGTGGCCGAATATCCTTGCCACTCGACTCGCTGCAACTAGTTCTAGGTTAAGGACTGCTGTCGCATAAGTGACATCGCGCGGATTCTTGATAATGAACTATTTGCAGAATCTAGGCCCGTCAGCTGGGAGGAATGGTGGACCTATGACGGTATTTCCGGTAAGGGATTCCATACTCATGTCAATTAATCAAAAGACATTCGCGTTTCCTTCCTCTATCGATTACAATCGCCTCGATGATCCTCTTTTTCATCGATTATTTGTCACTTTTTAAACGTTCTCCACGTACATATTCATATTCAGTTTAGTTTTTTAGTTATAAAGATTCGTTTTTAAATAAATATTTCACGTTTCAAAATTTTAAATTTCGAAGATTGCAAATGATCGTTTCGTCTGGATTATTTCACAAACATTTCGTTTCAATCTTCTCGGACGAAAGGATATTTTTCGTATAAATTAATTGATATAATTACGCATCTGTATCCTTCTGCGTTATTTCTCTCCTATTTTTCTTCTTTTTTTTTTTTAACTTCTCTCTAGAACTCTAAAAATCGTCTCACTTATTTTACAGAGAGAGAGTTACGTAGATTCCAATATTTTTGTACGAAAGACACTATTCACACTCGTCGCTCATTTCCTCTCATAAACATTGACCAACCAATCTAAACTCTCCAAAGAACCTCCTCATCGAATCCGATAATTTCTCTCTCCCCATCCTCGATCCTCGATCTACAGCTCCGTTAATCCTCGAGCGGAATACTTTCTGGTCAAAGTGGTTAACTGATGCTCGAAAATCGCGTTCGACGTGTCGTTTAATCGATTCGGGGTTCGAAGGTCCCGGCTTCTGGGGTCTGATCAATCCGGATTGGTGGCTGTGTCACAAGGGCAGACGTCAATCGCCGGTGAACCTGGAACCGTCCAGGCTCCTCTTCGATCCGAACCTGCAACCCCTCCACGTGGACAAGCACAGGGTAGGCGGTGTGCTGGCGAACACTGGCCACAGCGTGGTCTTCGCCGTGGACAATGACACGCGCCATCCTGTGAACATATCCGGTGGCCCGTTGAGCTACCGGTATCAGTTCCACGAGATACATTTGCATTTTGGATTGGACGATCGGACCGGTAGCGAGCACACCGTGGACGGACACGCGTTTCCCGCGGAGGTGAGTGTGCAAAATATTATAAAATTACGGAAAATTATAGTGTAGTAACGACGAATAAGTGTGTGGTTCCATTTGAGATGAGATCACGAAAAAAGTGTGAAAAAAGTAGCGAAATATTTATTTTTAACATTTGCTCTCCGTGCTAAATCTTCCTTTTAAACGCGCCACGAAAGGGGAACAATTTGAACTCTAATTGCTGTTTAAATTCTTTTAAAAAACAGTTTTTCAATTTTCACTCATGACGACGTCGATTTTATCGATTTCGAACATCATACGCGCGCAGAATTATGGATCAGATAAAAATTTATAAAATAGCCGACATCGAGTCACTATTTTAATCTGATACGATCTTTTTCACAGCCCAATCTTTTTCTTTTTCCAAAATAAAAAGAAAAATGTTTCTCGAGGAAAAATGTTTTCTCGTATCTCGTTATAATAATATATTAGAAATTCTTTAACGTCTGAAACGTGATTTGGTTGTACTACTACTTTTTGCACCGCTAAGATTCTTATTCGAGTCCTTAAGAGCTAATTGTAACTTTGTTCTTTGGAATCGATGAATACTTGTCACTGTGCATTATCAGCTAGATATCGGATAATTTAAGGAATTGTTAGTTAAAAATAATAATTGATGAGATAAGAATAATTGGCCGATCATAGTTAATACGCCAAGTTTTAGTCCCTCTTTGACGATAATCGATAATGTACATGAATTTTCGTTATTGATTAGAACTGTCACATCTAATTGGATTAGATATAACATGGCAAATAGCATGAAAAGGACATAGACTGAATGGGATAATGATATATTGATGATGTAGCGATAGTGCCAACACATCGCTAATTATTCGTGTTTTGGAATTTTAAATAGAATTTGCATTATATTTTAAATTTAAATTCAAATCTAATTCGAATCTCTTCATGGTGTACCATATAATGAAGTTCGCTAATCCTGTACAGTGATATAATTTATGAATTTTGTTACGGCTAATGAGATCGTCAATTCATTATTATTATTATTATTATTATTATTATTATTATTATTATTATTATCATTAATAGTGGATGAGTTACGTCAATAATTTAATAATGCAAGCGATAAACGCCAATACGTTAATAATTACTAATGCAAAATTTCTACGATTCTATGATTTTATCAGATATTTTGATATTTTGATATGATAAACTATTTTTTCTTTTTTTTAATTTCGTTTCTTTAACGAAGTATCTTGAGCGTAAAAAAAATGTAAAAAGATAAAAATTAAACATTAATATGTATAAAAAAAATCCAAACATTCAAATGCATATTATCACACGTATTCATAAAGTCGTAAAATAACGAAAAACTCTTCTGAAAAATCTTCCACGTGACAAAAATCCCCGTCAGCTAAATCCTAATTTGTTCATCTCATTTTTAGAAAAGATGTGCTCGCTCCAATTTTTTCCAACGACAAAAATATTTTTTACATACGTATAACAGACGTGTATCAAACAACGTATAGAACAATTCAATTCCCTCTCTTTCTTTCTCTTCGAGGAAATAGAAAACACGTACGAAAGAAAAGAATGAATGTTGCCTTGAAAAACTCGAACCGACGTTAAGTACTTTGCTCCATCTAACTTAACTTCGATAATCCATGGATCGAGTGGGCCGAGACTATCAGTTTCTATCGAAGGCCTAGCCCTACCAGACATCCGATTATCGATCATCCACGATACGAACCGTCTATCTGGATTCTTATACTCGTCGATTAGAACGACTTTTATTCACTTGATCACGTAACTGAAACTGATTAACGTGAAAGCACGTCTTCCATTTCTTCTCTTTTCTTTCCCTCTTCTCTCTTTTTTTCTTTCTTCTTCTTTTTTTTTTTTTTTTCCTACTCCCGTTCCTCGTTCGAAGTATTAATCTTCGAACTGGGTCAGAACTAGCGAACTGGGTTACCAGTATACAATCGCGATATACGTGCAGCCCGCGAAAACGTATAGCTTTTAACAGTTTGCCAGTCTGCTACATCGACGGGGAAAAGTTGGCCGACACGGAATTTGAAAAAATTATGAAACTTTCCCAATATATGGGCCGGTTTGCTCGCCTCGTGCCTCGCGTGTTCCTTTTCGAGTTTCTTTTTCTTTTTTTTTAATTATTATTATTGTTATTATTTTTGCGCGCGCGAAAATGCCGTGTTTTCCATGGCGAGAATTATTTTTTATTATATTTGGAAATTTGTTGAAAAATCGTGCATCGAGAGAATTTTTTTCGAAAAGTTTTATTGTTACTCGACGGCGAAAAAACGTTTCGAAAACGTGCTCGAGGCAAGCTGGCGAGATCAATTGTCGAAACGATAAAATTTGTTTTTGTTATGAAGAATGTCCCTTGTAGCAAGGAACGGATAAAATGTGTCGAACGTTTCAAAAAGTTGGGATCGAAATCCCAGGAAGGAGGCGGTGTATCATGTTTATTGGATGGTGGGGAAAAATTTGTGAATCGAGATATTATTTGTGGCGTTTTCCAGCGATTTGAAACAAGAGAAACAAAATTTTATAACGCAAAAACGAATGATGCATGGAATGTCAAAATTATTTTTACTTTTTTGAAAAGTTTTCTTATTAATTGTAGAAGAAGTGTCTTTTTTTTTTTTTTTATTATTATTAATTAACATAATATAATTCTATTCGAGAAGATAAAAGCGAAATCTTGTTAGATTTATCTAAAAATTATCGATGGACGTGTTGATGAAAACTTGGTGTTTGAAAACTTTACTTTTTACTTACGACTTTTATTAGCACGATCATTTTCTCGTTAGAAATTCATCAGCAGTTAACGATTTCATCGCTTCAGATTTAAGTAGAATGGATCCTCTTAAAGACAGCTTTTACTATTTAATCTGGCAGAGTTATACGCATCATCTATTAAGCTGAATATTCCTTTGAGGGTTTAAATATTTTGAGCACTTTATCATTTTATTTTATTATTTTAATGAAATGATTTAATGAAAGTTAGGAATCGATACCCGCGGCTCGTAATAATCTGTTATTCAATTTGTATCATAAATGACACAAAAGCTCGATTAAATTATTCACGCCTCAAACTAACTTGAAAGTTTTATTATATTAAACGTATTACTTTGTTCATTTTCAAACGGAATTACAGAATAATTTTATCGTATTATGCAGATGAAACTTTGTGAAAAAAAAACTTCGTCATTATTCATTTCTCAATATCTTTTCCATGTGATATTTCCAAGCTATTTAAAAATTACATTACACTAGTTACACATCTCAAATATTAGATCATTCATATTCATAAAAAAATTGATTAAAAAACGCATTCATTTTTTGATACATGTTTTAAAATATTCCAAACGTTCATCCCATTACTTACTTTTCTACTGTGTCTGACTATTTATACCATAAACTACTTGAAAGCTTTACTCAAGTCTCGATTTACCATTTTATTTACTTTTTCAGCACTTACTGTTCATTTTTTTTTTTTTCTTAATTACTACGCTTCAAAAAACCACTCTAAATCGACGTAGCATAAATGTTAAAAAAAAAAAAAAATAATTCCACGAGTTATTGAAAAATTCATTTCAACGATTCACATTCATTGAAACTGTTATATAAGTAGTACACCACCAATTTTCTTACTTATTTACTTACTCACTCGTTATCCACACCATTTGCTATAACTAATTCAATTATTTAATTTTTGTTTCGAAACAGTTGCAAATATTCGGCTTCAACTCGCAACTGTACAACAACTTCTCGGATGCGTTACAACGGGCACAGGGGATCGTGGCGTTGTCTCTTCTTCTCCAGGTACTACTGGCTAATATCATTCGTGGTTTCTATTTTCCACGCCTGTTTTGCGAAAAATCGGGGGCGTAACACGATCGAACGTAAGCGATACTCGATAGATATAACCGTTGCTGGTTTACCTTTCAGGTTGGAGACCTCTCGAATCCAGAGCTTCGAATATTCACCGAGCAGCTGGATAAAATCAAATATGGAGGTGAGATCACCAGTAAATTAATACATTCAGCCGGACTCGAATTTCTCGACTCGAAATCGAGTTTCCACGCGAATGTACTGGATGTGTCTCAAATGTATCCTTGATTTCAATCAAGGATACGTTTAAGATATATATATGTGTAGTAGTTTCTGGTATAACGTCTTAATTAACAGATAGTCTGTTGATTGGCTAGTTAAAAAGGGATTTGGATGAAAAGTTCCTTTTAAAGTACTTTCAAAATTGATCGTTGAGAACGCGTACGGTGGAGATTTTATGAAAGGGGCTTCAGTCGTTGAGTATAAAGTACTAAAAGGGGGGGAAACTCGAACGTGAAAATAAGGGTTGTAAATCGAATTGAAGATTTCGATCGTTTTTCACTTTTTTTTAATTCAAGTATTTAAATGGTAATTCAACGATATTTTGATATAAATATTCTTATTCTTAAAATTATTAATATAATAGATTTAATTAGTTTTTTTTTTTCATATTATGTTCGGGATAATAGAAATTTAATTCTTCTTAATGTGAATCGAGTTAGAGATTTCAATTGGTAAGAATGATTAATAAATATTTTAAAACGATATTTCAATTTAATTCTTCAATTATATGCATTCTTTTTTTTTTTTTTTCTTTATTAAAATAATTCGCGAAAGAAAAGAAGTTTGATTAAATCATTTAAGGAATAAGTATCGAGTAAAATGTATCGATTTAAGTTTAATTAATCTAAATACGAATTATTTAATTGTCTTAAAATTAATAGTTTCGCAGAAAGTAATTTATTTAAAAAATAAAATTTGATTTTTTTAAATACTATTGTACTCGTGTAACAATTGATAAATTTGATTTAAAATAAAGATACGTAATAAAAAAATTATAATGAGAAGAATCATATATAAAATATTATATTTCAAAAGAATAAAAAGAAACTTTGAACAAGAGTTTAAATTCATTTATAGTTTTATACCATTTTCTTATATCTTTCTATAATTTTACATCAGCTTGCGAATATATTAATAAAATAGAAAAAAAAAATGGATTTAAATTAAAATATCTTTTACAAAATTAGATAGATACGCTTGAAGAAAATCTTTACCATTTTTTAATTTCTCATATTTTAAGGATTAAAATTTTTTATTATTAAAAATTATTATTACTACAGTAACAGAAAATTAATAAAAACAAAAATTTAGATCCAATCTTCTTCCATTTCTTTCTTCTTATTAATTTTCCCCGGAAGGGAACATTATTATAAATATTCTCTTATGAATAAAATAAATGAAATCTATTTCGATTCTCGTAAATTATTTTATTAAAATTCTATGTTTAAGTACAGATTTCTCTCGTAAAATAATTTATTACAATAAAATCTCTCGTATCTATTGATAACAGAGAAAAGAAATATTCGAATAAAACAATTTTCGATAATAGAACAATCTCGTTTTTTATCTCGAATTTTATTTATTCTGGAAATTAACAAAATTAACTTTATTCTTTTTTTGCCACGTAACTTTCAATATCATATTTTTATTTTTTAACGTCTGTGATTGTAGACAAGCCAATACCATATATTTTCTTGTAATTTTATTGCATTTTTTTCATTCTCTTTAATTATTTTGTATCTTTATTTCGATAGTTACGAAACTAAACATTTCCATTTAGTTGCCATTGTGACACCGTACAATGTTAGCTTCATACTAAATTGAATAGTCGAATAATGTACAATGAATACAAAAGACTTTATCGTAATTAGAACAATAGAACGTCTAATATCAAAATTAATAATTATAACTGACTAATGATTCATGATGACGAAAGAATTTTCATAATTTTTATTAATATTTTGTAATATAATTATTCTATATCTTTTTAGAAAGAGTAATGCAAGAATAATCTTTCAAATTTCGCTACTGATATCAATTCAATTGTGAAAGAAAGAATTCAAAACGTGCAAGAATTAGAAAAAAATAAAAAGAAAATAAGAATTCTTATGAATAAACGGTATTAAGGCAAACAATTTCAGATATTATCCCATTTTGTAATCGCGTTTTCAGTTGAAATCGTTCTTCACCATAATCGCCACAAGTTGCCTTTTCAATGCCACGATGAAGGATTTAATTGCAAACTAATTAATTTTAATTGTCGAGAGAAAGTAGATCCCTTTTTCGGAGATTCAAACAAAAAAAGAATAATACAGAATTCTCCTCCGTATCAATTAAAGATATTGTTTGATTCTATATGAAATTTGAGAAGTGAGAAATGATCATCGAAATTCGTATTTTCATTGATTTGGAAATAAATTTGTTATATGAAACGTTTTGCCTATCCTATTTATATTTTTTAACTCTTATAATTAACCGGTTTTCGATCGAAAAAATGAAATCAGGAGAGAAATAAGAAACGTAAATTTATATAAAACGCGTGAAATTTTAAATAATTTTCTATAAATGTGCGAATTTCGAATAAACATGTTTTATGCATTTTCATTCATTATTAATTTGTATTATTAATTAAATATTTATAAAGGATAATTCCAATTTATATATATATATATACATGTTATAATATATGATACTCTATTCTTGATTTCGAGAAAATAAAACGCATATAAATTATGATCAATTAATTCTTTGTGTGCTCTATTTACGCTCGTTTCAAATTAAAATATACATTTCACGTATATCATTATTTAAATGATACTGTTTAAATTTTATTTTCGATTTAAATGATACGAGTATCACAGAATAAACGCGTAAAATTTTAAATAATTAATCCTTTGTTTAGAACGCAAGTATTCCAAATGAAAACACCTTTTATGTATTTTATATAACATGAGGTCAAACATGCGATAATTAATTAATATTTTAAACAAGCATCAAACAGAAATGAATATTTTACATAACACAATACACGCGGGATGGGATATCAGAAATTCCAACTAATCAATCCTTTATTACGCTAAGGATGCTTAGATCGGTTCGGTGAATTTCATAGCTCATACATTTACATTTAACCTAAAATTTCGTTTCGATTTACGTGATTCAGAAATTTAGAAATACGTTTTAATTAAAAAAAAGATTTGATAAACATGATAAAGATAATTAATCGATGTTTCGAACAGCACGCAAAGCAGCATATTATCGCCGTGATAGACATTACGAATCGCGTGTCGTCTACACCAAGTGATTCAGATTATTCAGCGCACAAGGAATTAATATTTATGCATTAAGACAGTCGAATGTGTAACTAATCGACTTCTCAAACGATGTTTCAATGTATTTTCAATACGATCAATTTCACCAAAAAATTCAATACAATAATAATAATAAATCAAATTTAATCTGAACAGGGAAGTAAAAGATAAAAATCACGACAATTAAAATTGAACTACTTTCGATTTCGTTTCTCGTGATTCCATATTTTACACAATTACACCAAAATCACGTGCAAGAAATAATAAAAATTGCTCCCAATGATCGAGAAAAATCCTCAAGATGTCTTCCACATCTTTACTTCCTCGGTGAGGATCGATCGAACTTTTCTCTGTTAAAAAAATAAATAAAACAGACGCGCGCGAGAAATATCGATGTTAATTGGGGTACGTATGCGCGTCACGGTTATTGTCGGATCATCACGTTATCGATCGAACTGATTGCACGCAGGCCAGGCGATGGAGATTAAACGTTTCGTGGTGCGGGAACTGCTACCGGACACGAAATATTACATGACGTACGACGGCTCCATCACGATGCCAGCCTGCCACGAGACCACCACGTGGATCATCCTGAACAAGCCGATATACATCACAAAGCAGCAGGTGAGGGAGAAATTGTCTTACTGAAATACGCGGATTATTATTTTTTTCTTTAATTTTCTCTGCTCTAATCCAAATTTAACTGGATTCAAAGTAGAATTTAAGATTACTCGTTGTAGAAAGAAATATATATTTTAGGTTTTTTTAATCTCGTTTCAAAATTTCCTTTTTTTCTAGATATTTCTAGATATTTTTAAATGATAGTGTTTAATATATTCGTTCGTGGGACAATTTTCGAAGGATCGATTCTAGAAGTAAAATATTATAGCTTCGATATTTTTGTATATCAATTTTTGTATTCGTTATGGGCCTTGATTTTTCAAAATAAGTATATTTTTTCAAGCGACAATTTGAAAAGATGTGAATTATACGTGGACGATAGTAAATGCATTATCACGAAAGTTGCTAAGTTGTTGAATATCGGACTGTCAGAATTTCGCGAGAACTTAGGTTGTTTACGTCAACTTTGAACTTTCTATACGTGCAGGTATGCAATTTCTGCTGATCTCCGTTTCCTGTGACTGAGAATAAGGGTTAGTTTACAATTGTTCGATGACTAAGTTGAAGTTGGCCGAACGAGGCTCTGTAATATGATTGTCGGAATGAATAGATGCTCAAAGATGTTGCTGATAACTCTTGATTGGTTGTTGCGCCAAGATCGAAGAATTGAGGTTAGAATCGATTAAAACGAAGAAGCTACTCTGTCTCACGACTGTTTTACCAAATTATTATTTTTCCATCGTAACAAAATGTCGTAACAAAAAAAGAAAAAAATGATATTAATAATTATTATTATCCCAATTATTATCATTCTTTTTTTTTTTTTTACCCATGTTTCTTTTAATTTAACAACAATTGAAACAAACTCGTTTAATCGTTTTCTGCAATCTAGAACTCTATTTCGTTTTCGTGGCTGTCGCAGTTGTGGGATTCATATCCGACGTTGGCACGGGTTGAAGAATCGCGGTAGCTCACGCACGAAAGCAGTTCCTGATGTTCTTTTAACGATTTCGCGTGGCCAAGGGTGAGCGAAATTTTGTGAGCACGTAATGCCCACGGACCGAGGAAATTGGTTTACGGGTTGGGTTTCTTATCGTCTCGAAGCATAATGCTTTGATGTCTTAATACGTTTTTTTTTTTTTTCGCTTCCATTCTTACCTCATCTTTTATTTTGATTTTTCTCTCTCTCTCTTTTTTTTTTTTTTTAGATTCAATTACGAGAATCGGCAAATTGTATTAACGAATTATGTTCGTTGATTAAAATCTTACGAAAGGAAGAGTGTGGTAGCCAATTGTTGATCGGATGTATTTAAAAATTAGTATAATCGCGAAACTATTTCGCATATATTCTATATCTGCCATTGGTGATAAACAATTAATTATCTACAAGAAACATACAATACAATATGCAAACAATATGGAAAATATGAAGGAAGAAATTTCTATCCTCCTTTTCTTTTGTACATTCTCGATCCGTTTCTCGTCTACGATATCTATTAATTAAATTCTATCGATTATCATAGATCATACATTAAATTAGATCAATTTTAAAATCCAAAACGCAACATGAGCAAAAATTCAGATCCAAATTTTCCATCCCGCCTTCGCAGCCCGCCATTTCCAGCCACCACGTCGATCTTCGTTTCGCCGCATCTTCGTATGATAATTTTTCAAAACGATGCCGACAATGTTGGCATCTTCGTTCATAATGGATCTATACGGATCAATCAGCCAAATGGATCGTTTACCTACGCAACATCCCTCGAAAATCGGAAACGGGACGCCGTTCATCCCTTTTCGCGTTTTATCACCTCGTATTTTAATATTACCGGGGAATCGGGAATCGATGCGTCGTATGTATCATCATCATCATCATCGAGAGAGAGAGAGAGAGAAGGACTTGGTTCGATATCGATATAGGGAAAGAAACGGGCTTTTGAAAGGGGAGAGAGGAAAGGAAAAACAAACGGGCGTAGAAACAGCGTCTCGGGGAATAATGAACAGGGAGATGTCTATTGAGTTGCTGGCGGAAAGGTCGCTTTGCCGGTCGAACGAATTCGAATCGCGCTTTTTAGAGTGGGGATTAATCTCGGGGTGGCTCGGTGTACGAGATATGACTTTAATTCCGTTTGCGCCTGGGATAGAGGCGCTCGATATGTTCAATGATATAAAATGGCGCTTTATCGAAGGGTAGAATTGAAAAATGGAAGCAGTGAATTTGTCTTTTCATAGAGGTACGGTATTTGAAAACGCGCTATCGTTTGGAGTATGATAATTCGATGGATTACAATACATTTGTTATCGTAGGGAAATATAGGGAAATTTTAGATGAAAGATGGATGATGGCAATGGGGATAATATTGAGCCGAATCGGATGAAGGGCGATTCTTGTAAAAAAAATTTTCGGTTTTTTACAGATTTATCGAGAGTAATGGCGTATTAATTAAAATATGATTCAACAGGTTGCTTTGATCGTATTAAAACAATGTGATTATTGTAAAAGTTGAAATCTTATTTGATTATTTTCATTTTATGATAAAAAAAAAATAGTGATTAAATTTCAAATTAATGTGTAATAAAATAAATGTTTACTCTAAGGAATTAATAAAAAAATTTGAATAAAATGTTACAGTAAACGATCTCGCAGTGTTTTCAAAAATACAATTATTTAATTTTCGTATCTTTTAACGAAGTGTTAAATTTTAAATATAATTGTTTAAAATATAAAAAATAAATACTTTTACCATGAAACACGATGATTCGAAGCCGAATAATTTAAATAAACAGAAGGAGAACAGGAGATATCATGAAATAATGATAAACTTGAAATTGATAAACTTTCGACATATCATAATTAATGAGTTATCAGTTATCGATTTTAAATTTTAGGAATAAGCAAGGAGATAAGCATTATAGTTCATATAAGAAAGATATATAAGAAAAATAATGATAATCCATATATGAGAAACGATCAATTTTAAAGTAAATTCTATCTATATAAATTTGTAATATTTCTAATTAATTATGATATACTTAATTATAATAAATAAATTCATAATTAATTGTAATTATACCTATTAATTAATTTCACTTGTTCTTCTTTCTTCTCAACGAAAAATTTCATATTGATTAACAATTGATGACATATCGACCGAATGAGTAATTTCTTAATCTCGATCGAGAGAATGAAAATATTCTTTCTTACAAGGTATAGGAAAATACTGTTGTACTCGTGTAACAATTGATAAATTTTAAAATAAAGATACGTAATAAAAAAAAAATTATAATAAGAAGAACCATATATAAAATATATTATATTTCAAAGGAGGAAAAGAAACTCTGAACAAGAATTTTAAATTCATTTATAGTTTCACACCATTTTCTTGTATCTTTCTGTAATTTTACATCAGCTTGCGAATATATTAATAGAATAAAAAAAAGAATGGATTTAAAATATTTTTTACAAAATTAGATAAACATGCTTGAAGAGAATATTTATTTATTAAAAATCGTCACAATAATTGAAAATTAATAAATAAACAGAAACTTGGATCTTCAATCTTCAATCAATCGTGAACATGTTAAAATTAATAATTTATACAATTGACCCATTGTCCCAATATTAAATTCTTTCTTCACTTTCTCCTCCCCTCGACATAATAAAATAATAATAAATTTATAACAATATGATTTTCATACCTAAATTTAAACTAAATTTTAATAACTTCCAATTTCACAAATTCCATAAATCATCATCATCAGTTCCGATCTTAAAAGTTGTTTTAAAAATATTGAAACGAGAGCGGAAATGAAATGTTGGAAAGAAGAAGAAAAAAAAAAAAAAGAAGAAGAAAAACCTTTAAAGTTCGATGATCGAAAATTTCACGCGGAAAGTTCCGTGGCGAAACTAATTTATCCGCAACGATATCGGGGGTCGGGCGAGGGGTGGTTGATCGATGATTTAACAGCCACTTTTCGCAAGATGATTTACGTATACAGGATGGCGGCGATGCATTTTAATAAATTTATCGGGGACAGCGGCAGTGGCGTGCGAGGAATTATACTTGCTAAAGCGGAGCAGCGTCGGGATTTCGCGGCTAGTATTTTTCGGGCCAAGTTAGCCGGCGGATGACATCAAAGGGATGCAAAATAACCAGCACACGAACGTTCACGCGCATACGGATGAGAGGACGTACACGCGTGCGACGTATTGTTCGTTACCCTGGAAAAAAAAAAAAAAAAAAGGAAGAAAAGAAAAAAAAGGGCCAACCGAGGAAACCACCGCACAGTGTATCGAATATTTTAAAAAGCTTGGCCCCTTCGCCCTCGTGGGCCTCCGTTAGTGCGGAAAGAGCGTCTCGGGATGTCAACCGAGTCGATTATCAGCCACCGTTAACGTTTCCATCGTGATTTTTCGAATTTAGATGCAATCGTGTGAAACGATCACCCGTTTTTCTTCGTTTTTCGTCGGATTTTTGGGTCAATGGAATGGATAAAGTATACGTAGAGTGGGTAGAGGCGGGAAGGAATTAACGTTGGATCTTTATTTCTTAGGAATTGTTTTTTTTTTTTTTTTTTTTTTTTTGGATCTTTATTATTTGCAGGATTTTAGAAATTTTTTGTATCACTTCTTGTATTTCGTTGTTGTTATAACAATGGTAAGGCTAGTTTTAAATTATTAATTGATGATGATTAAATTGACGTTAAAAACTCAAATTGCAAAAGGGAAAATTGTAGAGAAAGAGTAGAAAAACAATTGTATGAGTGTAAAATATAATAATTTTATTCGTTTAATAATATATTGTATTAGATTAAATTACATTGGTTTCACGTATGTAGGATATTTAATTTGCATTCTAATGTGTTTCAATGAGATAAAGGCGATTAATTTACTTTTGATCGCGCAAAATATAAAGTATAGAATAAAATTATGAAACGCAACGATAAGAAAATTAAGGGTTAATATTTCAGATTTCTATCTCTAACTTTTTTTTTTTTTCCTCCTTTTTAATTTCCTCAAACTTTTCGAGTTTTCTCGTTAATTCAAATGTTTTTCGTTCTTTTGATTTAATTTTTGAACTTCTTCGATCTTCTTTTCTCTCAAATTGAAAATTAAATTGCAAATTGAAATTAGAAATACGATATTAATCATTCATGTAGCTTTTGTCGATGTACGAATCTGTAATATCAATTTTATTAAAAATTTTAATACAATTATGGAAAATTTAAATGAAATGCAAAATTCATTTTGTTTCTATTTTCTTCATTTGTGATCATGAGAGTATGAATTTACAATGAAAATCCACAATTCAGAAAAAATTGTTGTCTATCTATAAATCATATTCAATATAAATAAATAAAGATGCATTTAATAAAATTTTCTATAAATAAATTCCATTATTTAATTTTTTATCAACTTAATCGCAACCAACTTTACACTTGATTATTTAATCAAACGAGATTAAAATGAAAATTTAAAGTACGAAAAGGGTACGTCGTCAAATATTCCGATGAAAATTTAAAGCGAGTACCTTAACTTTCAAGCAATTAAGTTGTTACGAGGAAAGGCCATTTCGAAAGAGCAGAATGCAAAGGCAATGAGACTTTAATCGTCGGTGTTAGACTTTCTCAAATTTGAGCAATCGATAAATCAATATCTATAATGAACATTTTTATTGCAGTCGTTATTTCATACCATCATAGAATGCAAAGATGAAAGAAAAAACAGGATTTTTAATCTATATTAAATTTAATCAGATTAACTTGCATTTAATATTTATACTTATCAAATTATTATCCTTATTTTTTAAAAACTTTTTACTTTTTGCTTCTTATTAAAAAAGGATGTTAAAATTCTGTTTCTAAATTTAATTTGATTTCTTAGTTTTATATATATATATATATATATATAATAAAAAAAGAAGAATTTAAAAATTTAAA